TTTATGTGACATCTTTTTCCCTTTTAGTTTGCTTAAAAGAAGAATAACACATTTTATTATTAAAAATCATTTACCTTTAAATATTTTATATTATTATTAATAACATGCTTTTATAACCACGTAAATAAAAAATATCATGACCAATTTAAAACCATATATTTTAATTTCTTTTTATCTTTTAAACCTCATACACGATTAAACACCGTTATATCTTTTTTCTTGGTACTTCATGACTTTTCTCTATTAAATAATTAAGGATAATATAAGATTTTAAGTTAGTTGACGGAGAGGAGCGTTATAGTTACAACTTTGTGGCCGCATATATACAATTATTTGTATGTAAAATAAATTCAGCTGTTATGTCCCATATTTATTGTTTGAAAAGGAAAAAAAACAGTGAATTCACTTGCATCTATTACAAACCTTGCATTCGTCCAAGTTAACTAATCCCTCCATTTCAACAAAATATATATATATATATATATATATATATATATATATATATATATATATATATATATAATATATTAGTATAGGGGTTTTGTTTGAAAAGAACTTGGGGTAAAATATCATTGTTAGAGAGGAAGTGATTTGAAAAATTCATATCCAAGAAAGTTATATGACTCAATAGTAGAGTAGTATTGATCAGTAGTTGTGACAAGTTGAACTTCTCCATGACTATAACAGCTAAAAATTAAAAAAAAAAAAAAAAAAAAAAATATCTAATAACTCCAAAATGTTTTTCCAGACAAAAGGCAAATGGGCATTTATCCCAGATTTTGGTGGCTTTGCCTTGCGAATTGCAATCCTTGACAGATACGTCTTCTGTTAGTTTAATTTATCATTTTCATTTTTCCAATTAAAGAAGTAAATTCTCGTTTTAACTAAGGAAAAAGTGCTGGTTAATTATTTTATTGAGAAAAGTGATTAATTATCGGGATTGAGGAATTAACTAGGGATTGAGAAAAGTGGATGTGGATCCACTACAAAATTCATGGTTAAAAGAAAAAGAAGGAATTTTTACCTCCTATAGCAAAGGTTAACACCTTATTTATTTTAAATAAATACCATTTAAAAAATTTATTTAAAATAAATTATATTCTATAGATACCTTTTAAGGTTTATAGCAAAATATTTAATTTTGGTTACCTCATAACCCTAAGCCACTAAATACGCTATTCAGTTAAACTATTTTCTTCCTCTCTCTACTTTGATACATCCCATTCTCTTCCCCAATTTCCTGAAAATACGATGCTCAATCTCAAAATTCCTCTCACCCACACTATTTTCTTTTCATTCCGATCAATTCTTGCACGTTGAATTGCGATAGCAAATCAAATCCCTAACCAAAACTAACTGATTTGGGAAAGGGAGTTAACCAATGTTTGAACTTTGACAGATTTGGCAAAGGGAGTTAACCAACCTTAGCAGAGGCCATGGATACAGTTGCCGATGGAGCAGCGGCGACGGAACATCGGACAGTGGACGACCGAGATTGAATCTTTTGGGTAGCAGGTAATGAAAAAAGCTGTCTCGTGTTGTACCTTCAAATCTCAAAGGTGTCGCGTGTTGTACCTTCAAACGTTGCTACGGCGAATTCGCCGGAAATTAGGGTTTTTTCTTGAATAAAGACGACGGAGTTTGGGGCTGAGCAACTTGATTTTCTGTTAATATATTTCAATGTATTTTCATGTATTTCATTGTATTCATTATTTTTTTTCCATTGTAATTTAATGTATCTCGTTGTATTCCATGTATTTTATTGTATTCACTGTCTTTTTCTTCATTATATTTCAATGTATCCCGCTGTATTCTATGTATTTCATTGTATTCACTGTCTCGCTATATGCCATGAATGTATTCATATGTATTTTTTAATTAATATAATTTATGTATTCAGATGTATTATATAATTTCTCTGAAGATTGCTATGATTTTGGGGTATTTTTCGGTTGAGAATCTTTTTTATAACCGAAAATACAAAATTTGTGTGTTATAATTGAGTTTGTTGAGTTATATTAGGAGTCTATTATGTTAATTGATTCACTTTCCGTTTTAAAAACAGTGTAATCCCCTATTTCACGTCGTGAATACAGTCGAATACAATAATCTGTCCAGCTGTAATCCCATGTTTCACTCCATGAATACAGTCGAATACACTCGAATACAACAACTGATTAGCTGGACTTCCCTGATTCACGCCTATTTTTGCTATTGTATTCATGAATACAATAGCTTAAATACATCAAATACATCTTATAACCACAGAAAATGTATCTATAATCTGTAATATAACAAATGGTATGTATAGATGGCTAATTACTGCTAAAAGATAGTGCTTTATGAAAATTTCCCAAATAATTTTACAGCCACATAGCCCATTAGTTTTTTGCAATAATATTTATACATTCGGTATATAATATTATATAATACTATATACTTATAATAATATTGTATATAAAAATAAAGCTTCGTCTCCTACAAATTTCAACTCACGGAAAACATCATCAAATAGCTCAAAAATTAGTTGGGAAAGTACCGCACATATACTTCACTGTAATTGTTTCAAAACTGAATAAGACATAACAACAGATAAAATCATTCTTTTTGTGCAACTTAGCGCCGGTACGGAGTTTGATCTTTTGCAGGATATTGCTGCATCTCAACACTGCTTTAATGAATTTCTCTCTTGTAAATTTTTTGGTTTTCAATCCAATGTCGGATTTGCCTCAAAAAGTCTCATATTGGTAAGGCGCCTTCATTTTTACAACCAAAACCTTGTACCTTTATTTAAAGATAAAGAAATACTTATCACTCCTCGCGATCTTTATTGGTGAGTGGACAGAGTAATAATATCAGTACTGCACTAGGAAACTTTCCAGGCTGTGTACAAACACCAAATGTCTGTCTTCAATTATTTTCACTTGTCAATTTTCTAATCCTCTAAGTAGAGAGGTGTTATTATAGACTTTCTCTCGAGTTTTCTCCATTCTTATCTTACTTTCTTATATACTTTTTCCTTTTCCTTTTCTTTGCTTCTTTCTTTAAACTTTTTTTGACAAAGAGAAATAAAAAATTGTGACTCAAGCAAAATAACATCTCATAAGTTTAGCAGATTACACAACAAGTATGCATTATGTGTCAGTTTTATACTTTTATCCAATAAAATTTGAAACTGTAAATTTGCAAGAATTGGTGACATCTAATTTACTAACTGCCAAGAAATCAACAACGTATTAATTCTATACTTATATTTGGCTCTAGCTCAAATTATAAACATAACTACGCAAGTACAATGCAATATGTTGGGCTGTACTTGCGTGTAATATTCTCTTCAATTTTGCAGCCTCTTATACAGAGAAGATGGTGTTTGGTTTTCCTCTATTATAATGCAAAATGGATTGATATAGTCCAGTTTCAATTATTATACTATATGTTCAAACGGAAAGAGGGATTTTTGTTAGTTGTAAAGTCGATTATCATGCAATAAGCCAATTAATCGTCACGTGAATAACATCATTCGACCAATTATCAATTTTTTTCATATATCTGTCCAAAGATTTGGTATAGTCCTACTTTGATGAGATTCCATTAACCCAACAATTGCATTAATTAATTTTAAAGCTATTTCATTCATTTTATTTAAAGAATTCAAAAGAAAAGAGAAGTAGAAACTTGAAGATTAATATGAATTTCAACCAGTTGGAACTAAATCAAAATGAGAAATGCAATCATGAACAATTCGTCGCCAACCAATATTATCTTGTGTTGAAGTTGCAGTGTTATGTTTGTAACTTCACTATGTATCATCATTTATAATGTTCGATAATGATGATTACAAAATTAATATTATTTCAAATGATTGTAACTCTTTGGATTCCATCCTTTCCCCATTTTCAAGGTTACATAAATAAGAGATGATCAATAATGTTATCTGGGCTCACCCAATTCGGTTAGTGAGTCTGCCTCATCTTTCCTCTTTTGAGCAAAATCCAGTTTTGATAGTTTCTACTTTGGTTCTTTTGTGAACTGCTTCTTCAATTGTCAATCTATAGACTCCATTTTCGTAAAGTTCACTCTTTTTTGCCAAGCCCCTTAACCTCTCAAGATGCACTTTCTTTTTAAAACTCTACTCATTTTGTCAAAGGTCCTTTTGGACAATTCAGTCACCTCCCTTTATTTCAAATCTTAGCTATAGAAATTTACTACTCATTCAACTCGACACTAACTTAAAAATTCGTGGTAGTCTTCTTTAAAATCATATTTGTACCCTTCAATCATCAACACGCAGGATTACTGTCAAGGGGATTTAAAAAAAAAGTTAAAAAGGTTGTAGCTAGCGGGAATAGAACCAATGATCTTACAAAGGTTTTGAACCATTTGATCACTAAGCTATGCTTTTGGGTGTGTTAAGGAGATTCAAAATATAATATATAAAGGTAAAAAACAGATTTTGCCTTATATATACAGTATAATTTTCCGACAAAGGGGTTCGGGCGAACACCCTTCCGCCCCTAAATCCGCCCCCTGATCATCAATTAAACTAACAACGATATCTCAGCTCCAAAAGCTAGTTAGGGTCGATGTATGACTCCTCATCATCTATTTTTTATCTCTCTAGTCTCTATACAAACACATTTTTTACCATACATACTTAATTGTGTAACATTGGAAATTCTCTGTATTTTCTATTGATATATGAACCTTTTAAAATACAGTAAAAAAATTAGGCGAAATGTAAAAACAACATTCTGCTTAAGCCTTAATCTTAACTCGGTAGTGTTATCTATAAAGGTCTTTTACTTCCATTATTTTTTTTTTACCACCCAAATCTACATGGGGTGTTCATAAATTTGGGTGGAGGTTAATCATTGAAAAGAAAATTATAGGGACAAAATGGGCTCAGCTGCGCGTTTGGTGTAAGAAAAGTAAAACGTGTCGGTGGTCATCTTTTTGAACATGAAGGCTCCTCACTTGCACTTTAATTTCACACTCTTACAGTACTAAACTACACTACACTACTATATTTAACACCTTTCTTAATGCCTTCAAAAAGATTAGAGCATTTCTGTTGCTTCATTGACAAGTGAACCCCCCTTTTCCATTAATTTCCACTCTCTCTCTCTCTCTCTCTCTCTCTCTCTCTAGAGCTACTTTTCTCTCCTTGTGTTTTGATCATTCATACAATACAATGAAGGGGTGGGGCAAAATGGGAGTAAAGTTTGTTCTTTTCAAGATGCTTGTGCTCATCATAGTGATAATGGTTATGGGAAATGAGGGTAATTTGGTAACTGCAACAAATCATGTTGGGACAACATGGGCAGGTTCAAAGTATGAGATTGAATGTACAATGTGTGCAGCTTGTGACAACCCCTGTGCCACCCCATCTCCGCCACCTCCTCCCCCGCCATCTTCCTCTAACAATTGTCCTCCGCCACCCTCTCCTCCTAGCTCCGGTGGTGGTGGTGGAAGTTACTATTATTCACCACCACCACCCTCCTCCTCCTCCTCTAGTGGTGGTGGTGGTGGTGGTGGTGGGGGCAATTCCTATTACTCACCACCTCCACCTGGTGGTGTAATTGGTGGTTACTACCCTCCACCCTACCAAAATTACCCTTCTGGCCCTGTTCCTCCACCTCCTAATCCTATTGTTCCCTATTTCCCCTTCTACTTCTATAATCCTCCACCACCTTCACAATCTGCTGCTTTTAAGCTCACTCATTATTATTCTTCTTTTTTCACCACTATGTTCATTTTCTTCTTCATTTTCCTTTGAGAATTTTCCAAGGAAAAATGTATAAATAAAGTGTCGGAATCACAGATCTACAAACTTGCAGAGGTGAGAGCAACATGGATTTATCCTTGGATTATTAACAAGCTGAAGAATTAATGGTGAATTCATGAATAGCTGAAGTGAAGTTCTCTTCTTGCTCTCATCCTGTGGAGTAATTAATCTGTAAATTCTTTGACCATTGTTCTAATTATGCTTCGCAAATTTTAGCTTCTTAATTTTTCTAATTCGTATAGAATGTAAGAAAATTACTTTAGTCAATTTTGCAAGAATTATAAAGTCAACTTCTAACTAATAGTCTAATAGCTGTTGTGCTTCTAGACTTTCCAATTCAGTTCACATGATCGTCTTACACATGTCAATCTTGTGCATTAATTATTTAACTCATACACCATAGAATTGATTTTTGTTTTTGAGTGGTACAACTGTACAATAACAATATGTTCAAAAGAGAAGAACTTGAAATGCCTTGGACAAATTGGCAACGCATGTTCACAATTTTATTTTATATTTCTATTTTCACATACCACCAAAGAGAAGAAAAAAAAGGGTTTCCGTTGATAAAAGTAATGAACCACCAAGCTCTGGCAACGGTTTTAATTGACAATTGAAATAAAGAAAAGGATTAAAATATTAAGTAAGTGGGTGGACGATGCTTGGTTGAAGATGAAAAATAGAGCATTGAATTTGAAGTTGCAAAAAAAGAAAAAGAAAAAAAAAGATAATATTATTGCTACTAATTATACTTCGTTTTCCATTCTATGTCTTGTACATAATAGTATCCAAAACTAAACAGGATGGCATTCAAAGCATTCTCTATTGGTTGGAGCTTCTTCTGGCTAGAAAATCCGCTACAGATTCCTTTTTTATGGTAAAAATAGCACGAGTTAGCCAGTTTTCGGACGAATCATTCAAAAATAGTCCGCGTTTGTAAAATCATTGAAAAATAGCCACTATTTTACTGCAACACGGAAAGTTCTAGCATAATATACTAGAGATCGGCGCACCTGTGTATAAACTTCCAGCATATTACGCTAGAACTCTAACACGCGAAAAGTTCCAGCATATATACTGGAGATTGGAGCACCTGTGTATGAACTTCCAATATATTATGTTGGACCGGTATATTATAGTGGAATTCTAGTATATTATGTTGGAGTATTTTTCCGATTTTGAACAGTGTTTTCGTTCAAATTTATTTTTACATGAAAAGTGGACTAAATTTTGATTACTTTGAAATGACTATTTTTGAATGATCACTTGTAAAATCTGGCTATTTTTGAATTTCTCCTTCTTTCTTTTCAATCAGTTAAAATTTCAGTTAACAATTTAAGTATTTCTCTTAAATATTAATTGATGGTCAAATAACTAATTTACTAAAATATATTATTAATAAATGATACTTTCATTTCATTGCATTGTATAGAAGCGTCTTTGGATGAATGAACTGCTTCATGACATTGCATTGTAGTTTGCACCTTTTCCATATAGGAAAAAATGAAACTTTTAATGAGAGGGCATAAATCTTTCCACATGGCCACGATGGATTTGCAAAGAAAAGGAAGATTCTTGAAAAGTACGACATGTTTAATTTTTACACGTTGCTATGTCCTATTTGTCCATACCAAGATCCCCTTTTAAAATAAATTAAGTACGAGTATATGTAAACGAATACTATTAGGAAATTGTCAGAACAACAAGAGATTGATTTGTTTCATTTCAGAGGGAGCATGCTCCAGTTATGAGGTTCAAATTGTCTAGTTTCTCGTTGAGTTTAGAAGTTAATCTATCTTTTCAATTTTTTAACAACCACACAACTGGAGTGCTATCCGACACCCTCTTTAAGAAAATATTATTTAAGAACATTATCGAAAATAGTTAATTCAATTAAATTCCTTAAATAAGTATAGTACTCATTCCGGTCCAAAATAAGTGATTTTTTAGTTGTTTTTACGCATATTAAGAAATTCACTTTTTAACATTAATTAGCAATGAAATTGATCATATTAACTTTTACTATCTCTTGACATAAATACTCCTAACACATACTCCAACACTATTTCCAAGGGCAATGTTGAAAAAAATAATTATTTCATTCTTGAAATTTGGAAAAATCACTTATTTTGGATCACAAAAAAAAAGTCAAAAAATCACTTATTTTGGACAGGAGAGAGTATCCTATACTGATATAATGCGATAAACAATATACACAATTTATGTCAGTTTTAAGCGGGCAGTAGCCGTGAAGAATCTTTAGTCTTCTATTATTAGTGTAAGGTGATAAAATAAATAATAAAGCATAGTTGATAAGAATTGTTTCATCTTCTTTTCTTGAATGAGGTAAGATGAGCCGCCAACCTTAAAACATGTGAACACAAGTGTGGGCTAAAATGTCAGAACAGAAGAAGTTGGTATTTCCTTCTTTATCATATCCAACTACTTGCGCGATGGGAAGTTTATTGGTTACCATTTGTTTCACGTTGCACATTTACAACGGGATTTTAATGCTTCCAAAGAATATGGTTTCTCATCCCATATAAACAACAAAATTTAACTTATACCATACTCCCTCCGGTCCAAAATAAGTGGTTTTTTGGTCTTTTTCTTGTGGTTCAAAATAAGTGATTTTTCCAGATTTCAAGAATGAATTAATTATTTTTTTCCTACATTGTCCTTGAAGTAAATGGTGTTGGAATATGTGTTAGGAGTATTTATGTGAGATAGTAAATGTTAATATGGTCAATTCCATTGCTAATTAATGCTAAAAGGTGGATTTTTTAATTTGTGTGAAAACATCCAAAAAATCACTTATTTTGGACCGGAGGGAGTATTGATTACCGTCTAAAATTTTTGTTATGTTGTCATTATATTTTAGTGTATTACAACAAGATAATTACTTTTTTTTCAAGTTATAATAGTAGGCATTAATCTATGAATAATGATCTGTTATCTAATTGTAAATAACTTACCCTGATGGAAATACTTATACGCTAAAAGTGCATAAAAATTAATTAAGACATTAGTAACAAGCATAGTCAATGGCTGAATTCGTCCCTAGCATATATGAGGCAATGAAAGATGTCATGAAACTTGCAATAATTTTACTACAATATATAGAATCACTGGGACAGGAGAATCGCTTAAACTTTGAAACCTGTATTGTTTTCTTTTATTAATTAAGTTACAATTTGTTATTCAACTAATAATCTTTAACTAGTACATCGAATTAAAGTAGTGGGTGGAATAGTTTGACTATGTAGGAAAGAAGAAGAAGGATGGGGGTGAATAATTGAGCAACAAGGACGAAATAAATAAAGGCATGTTGGCTGATGAGCTGGATGGCATGTTTATTTGGGGTCCCAAAAACACTATTTTGGACTATTAAATTGGACAAAACAGCTTCGCAAGTATGCCCTATGGATTCCACATTTCCAAAATGCCAATCCTAACAAAATTTCGGTGCTCAATTTTCTCCTTCCCCTTGTCCTTTATTTTCTTTTTTAATCTATTTTTATCTTCCTCAGTTTAACTTTACTTATTCATTATTTTAAAATAACTTTTTTTATTTTACTTGTCCACTTTCGCATATCAAGAGAAAAGTAATTTATTTTTTTTGTTTAATTATTAATTTCAAATTATTTTTCAGATCCATTAGGTCTATACACCAATTAATATGTATATCGTGATAAATTATGCACTTTATTTATTATTTTTTAAGCGGTGTGCAAAGTCACTCGCCGACAAGTAAAAGTGAACGGAAGGAGTAATTAATTAGATTTCACCATTAGTAAGGTTCTAATTTCACCAAATCTTCTCTCTTTATCTACTATTATTCACGGATTCACTCTAATACCAAAAAAAAAAAAAAAAAAAAAAAAAAAAAAATACTACTCCGTCGATTCCAAGTAATCTGGAGTTCAAAAAGAAAAGAAAGTTAATGTATGCTAAATATGAATAAAATAGTGAAGCTATCCTGATATCAAACAGTTTGTTTTGTATATGGTCATACAACAAATTGCGACAATGTAAAATGAAAAAGATAAAATTTAGTCGTTCATAAATCTACAAAAAATACTCCATTCGTTTTAATTTAGGTGGCAAAGCTTAAATAAACACATAATTTAAATAAGAAATAAAAATTTTTGGACAAGCTAAAAAAATATCTCCACATTGTTAGATCTATGTTTTAATGATGAAAAAATAACTTTCTTCTATTGCAGGAAATAAAATCCAAAAAAGGAAGTCAAGAAAGCAGAATGAAGGAATCAAGGAACAAAAGATGGAAAGCTGAGAATGGAAAAGCAAGCGAGATTCTGTTGAAGATCCAGAAGCAAGAATTAAGGAATCAAAATTCTACGAAAGATCCAGAAGCAAGAATTAAGGAATCAATCATGTTCATGATTACGATCATCAAGGAGAATAAATATTCGATCCCGTCTATTTATGTCACGCCCCGACCATGGGGAGCGCGACCGACGCTCAATCGAGATATCCCGGTCAAGCAAGCATACTTGATGCCTTCTACCCGACCTTGCCCATGAATAAGTAAAGATGCATGTCATTAGTTAGACAATGAGAGGTTTTCATGAACACACCAATTTCATTACCATTAGTTACTTCATTTACAATTTCCAAAATAATACATTAAACATGTGTAGTTTTAGAAGTGGAAATATATGTTACCAGTACAAATTCAGGTTTGACTTACCCAAATCAAAGTCTACACTATGTCTACGAAGCCTCTAATGGATCCAAAAGAGTAATATGATGGTGCCGGTAATAAGGCCCTGGCTATACCTCAAAACATCATACATAAGGAACACAAGATACAAGACCCCGATATGACGTGGGGCTCACCAAGTTAGCTGAGAAAAGGGTGTACCGCTATCACTGATCGATGCCGCCTGCTGTGGAAGCACCTACATCTATTAAAGATGCAACGCTCCCGAAAAAAGTAACGTTAATACATATGGAATAGTACTAGTATGTAAAACTAAACATCCTCTCCATAAATCGAGTAACAATACAAGGAGAAAGAAATATGGAATCAATGAGAGCCTCAAACAATATTAAGAATCAAGTTAAGAGAAGAATAAGTTTTCAAGTAAATATCATTATTTAAGTTGGGAGATCTTTAGCACGGATATACCACCGTATTTTTTTATATGGAGTCCGATCTTGGCCCGATCGGCTAAACCATCTCACCCAAAGACATCGAAGCACAACACCACCGTGCTTTTAGCACGGAGTTCGATCTCGGACCGATCGGCTAAGACTTCTCACCCTAAGACATCCAATCAAAACACCACCGTGCTTTTAACACGGAGTTCGATCTCGGC